TCCCCCCCCCCCTTTTACGTTTATTTTAAACATTATACTGACAACGTGTAAGTTGTCTACTTGTCTGAGACGGCCTCTTTTTTCTCAACATTTGAGTCTGACTTAGAAAATTTTGATTGCAATGTATATCCCAAAGTCTCAACGACGTCGTGTCTTCTTCAGAGTCGTTTGCTGTGGGCCCAGACCTCGCACAGTTCGGCGCCTTGCTCTTCTCCAGTCGTGTGAAGAAACTGTTCTGCTTCGACACGCACGGAACCAACCAAGAGGTCGAAGATGTGAGTTGTACAGTCCATCAATAAACTTATGGCCAAACCAACCGATACAGAGATAAATTGGCCAGCCAATAAGTTAGTCTTTCGATCTATCAATCAATTAGCTATCTATCCATCCACTTATCCATCTATCTATCTATCTATCTATCTATCTGTCTATCTATCTGTCTATCTATCTATCTATCTATCTATCTATCTATCTATCTATCTATCTATCTATCTATCTATCTATCTATCTATCTATCTATCTATCTATTGATCGATCTACCATAATTGTCACTACTACTACTACTACTACTACTACTACTACTACTACTACTACTACTACTACTACTACTACTACTACTACTACTTCTACTACAACCACTAGACTACTGCTATCACTACCAGCACCACTCACTACCATCACCACTGCCACTTCCTATGTCTCACCCCTAACCGCTCGTGTGGGGCCTACATGGTATAGAAGTTACGGTGTTCGCCTCTCATTCAATAGCTCCCGGCTTCGAATCCGGAATGTGACGGAAATTTTTGTTCTCTAAAATGTTCTCCTTTCGCCTCCTTTTCTGCTCTCTAACAATGTTCTGTCGTCTGCTTTCGTCTCCTTTATCTGCCCCCACCTACGCACCTTCTTTTCCCCCTCCTCTGGGCTCCTGACTCTTTCTACAGCATTTCTACTGCTACTCCTTGGCACCTCCTTACTGTTGTCTTTCAGCCACACCACTGATCTTATGGAAAGAAAGATCTACACCTAGCCCTCTCGGACAGGGGCAAAAAATCTCGGGGGTCTTGAGTGCAAGTTGCGCACGTTTGAAATCCCTTGGTGGTCCAAAATTGAGAAGAGTAGCCTTTACCCGCCATCCGGGCAAAATTCAAAATTTCCTACAAACTGTAAATGTTTAATGCGCGCTCAGATGACCTCCTGCAGTTGCGAGGGCCGCAAAACACTTACAAAAAAAATAAATAATAAATTAATTAATTAATTAATTAATTAATAAATGAATAAATAAAAAAAATAAAAAAATAAATAAATACATAAATACATAAATACATAAATACATAAATATATAAATGAATAAATAAATAAATACATAAATAAATGAATGAATGAATAAATACATAAATAAATACATAAATACATAAATACATAAATACATTTTAAAAACTAAATAAATATTAAATTTTAAAAACTAAATAAATTAATAAATAGATAAAGGAATACATAGATAAATAGATAAATAATTGAATCAAGAAATAACCGCCCCGCCCTCCACAGGCTCTCCGCGCTACCAAGTTCACTGGTGGTCAGACCCGGACGGCCATGGCCCTGTCCTATGCTCGAACTCAGGTCTTCAGGGCAGGCAAGTGTGGACACCGTGATGACGTGCCCAAAGTGATTATCCTCATCACAGACGGAAAGTCCAGGAGCAGTGAGTATCTTATACGCATTAATTAATCTAGATTTTTTTAAAAACCTGCATCGTTAGCAGTAGCAGCAGCAGGAATAGTAGCAGCAGAAGCGTCAACAGCAAAAACACAATAAATATCAACAGTAGCTGTTGTACGAAGAGGAGGAATGAAGTAGTAGTAGTAGTAGTAGTAGTAGTAGTAGTAGTAGTAGTAGTAGTAGTAGTAGTAGTAGTAGTAGCAATAGTAGTAGCAGTAGTAGTAGTAGTAGTAGTAGTAGTAGTAGTAGTAGTAGTAGTAGTAGTAGCAGTAGTAGTAGTAGCAGCAGCAGCAGCAGCAGCAGCAGCAGCAGCAGCAGCAGCAGCTGTAGAAGTA